GGGAAGATGCCTTTGTCCGCCGTGGGTTTGGAATTCTTCCCAGAGTGATAAATTCTAGTGAGAAAGAGCCCTATGTTTCTAGAGCTGGCTCTCCAGTGAGGCCTTGCATCATTCTTTCCACTGTAAACTGTGCGACTGGCTTCTCCTGATCAGCCACACGTGTACCGCAGAAAGGGCTGGGCCTGACGTGGCCACCCAGGGGCATCACCCTCGTCCTGGAGGTTTTGCTGCTGCCTCCAAAGGCCCCGTCATGTGGGATGCTGGTCCCTCATCTCTTGGGCGCTCTCGGGGGAGACTGCATCCTGAGCCACCTCATTGGCTGCCTGGGCTCTAGCACAGACCACTCAGCAGGGCTGGGAACCGGCGAGGGGCCGGGCTTCGGAGGCGGGACCACCCCAGGGGGAGGGGCTTGAGGCTGGCCGCGAGTCAAAGGCGGAAGTGCAGATAAACAGGATTCGAGTCATCGCTTAGATAAGCACTTTTGCTTCTGCACCACAACCTCCTGGAAAGCTTGCTTACCCTTTCCTGAGCACAAAAACAAACTTTCTAATCATAAGTAGCATGCGTGCGACGTGAAGTCTGGCTGGTAGGACTTGTTATCTTTCTCTCATTGATGTCATCCAGTTTCCGAAAGTCTCTTAAGTAGAGGCTACTGGTTCATGTGTAGAAGAATGTTGGATATGAAAACTCAAGAGGGATGGGGTTGTGGGGCAGGTGGGCATGGAGATGTGCTGCCCGCAGCCCTTCAAGGAGGGAGGGACGCGTTACCCTGGCTTCTGGAGTGTTGTCAGCGGACACCCTTCAGCTGTCAGTTCCTTTAGGAGATGCAGAGAGCTGCCCGGCCCCAGGTCCCTGCCTCCTGGATGGAGCTAGAGAGGCCTGCCTTTGGGTTCAACAGGGGAGTTTCTGCAAGACTGTCCCAGCTCCAGGGCTCCTCTGGGGTAGCCTGAAGCCCCCTCCTTTCTCCTCCACATGTGGTGACCCCAGAAGTCCTTTCTGATAAGCACTGTGAGCACAAGGCAGACTGTTCCCATGAGAACCCACCCTGCCCCTGTAACACAGGGACAACTGTGCATGCGTGTGCGTGTGTGTGTGTGTGTGTGTGTGTGTGTGAACTTGACATTATGGAAATGGTGAGAACAGACACAGAAAACAGACTTGTGGCCAAGGGGGAGGCGGTGGAGGGGAGGGGCAGATGGGAGTTTGGGGTTAGCAGAGGCAAACTATTATATATAGGATGGATAAGCAGCAAGGTCTTACTGGATAGTGCAGAGAACTGTATTCAATAGCCTGTGATAAACCGTAATGGAAAAGAACATTAAAAAAGAACATACATGTCTGTGTGTCTGTGTGTGTATAGGTGGAGCTAGTGATGAAGAACCCACCTGCCAATGCAGGAGACAGAAGATCCCCTAGAGAAGGGCATGGCAACCCACTCGAGTAGACTTGACCTGGAGAACCCCATGGACAGAGGAGCCTGGTGGGCTACAGTCCATGGGGTCACACAGTCAGACACGACTGAAGCAACTTAGCACGCACATAACTGAATCACTTTGCTGCACGGCAGAATTAACACCTTGTAAGTCAGCTACAACAGAAGTTTTTAAAACCTTGTACAGCTCAGGGAAACTTAGTGTACTGTGGTCACCCGAATGGGAGGGAAATCCAAAAACGAGGATATGTATGTGTATAGCTGATTCACTGTGCTGTATAGTAGAAACTAACACAGCATTGCAAGGCAACTATACTCCAACACAAATTAATTTTTAAAATAATTTTAAAATAATTAAAAATAATTTAAAAATTAATTTTAAAAAATTTACTTATTTTCTTACTTGACAAAAAAAAAAAAGAAATGTTGAAAGAATAGTAGCACTTGTCTTCCAGAACTATCACAGGATCTTGACAGTCCCTAAGGTTCTTTTTAATATTTTGAGCTACTGTTATCAGTGTTAAGTTTCATCTCGGTTGTGGCTTGTTCCTCTTATCATCATGAAGAAACCCTGAAGGTCTCACTTGATGGTTTTGGTCTTGCTCTCAGCTCTGAAAAACTAAGCGCCTGTGGTTAGAGTGACTTGCCCAAGCTCCCCAGGAGGCCGAGCAGGTTCCACTTGTTGAGGTTTTTCAATGTGTTGAAAGGACAAAGAGGAAGAAATGTAAAAACAAGATGAAGAAATTGTATAAGAGAAAAATGTAGAGAAAATGGAATACATGATTCAAGAAGTGATGAGAGGATTTATAGATACTGCAGACATAGGAATTCATTGAGCTATGGTCGGGTGACTGGCCCCAGATTTAAGATTGAGTGATCTGATCTTCTTTAAATATTTATTTATTTGGCTGCACTGGGTCTTAGTTGTAGAACATGGGATCTTTTAGCTGCAGCTTGTGAACCCTTAGTTGCAGCATGTGGGATCTAGTTCCCTGACCAGGGATGGAACCCAGGCCCCCTGAACTGGGAGCTCAGAGTCTTAACCATTGGACCAGCAGGGAAGTCCCAGATCTGGTCTTTCAGTCCTGTCAGTTGATGCCTCTCATGTCCAGTTTCTTTTGGCTAGAGCATCAGGGTCTCAAGAGGCTCTAAGGCCAGTTAGAAAGGTGGATATAGGGTCTGGCACCTTAACTGTGTGCTCTTGCCTCCATATTCATGTCCCATTCTGCAATGCTCAGCGTTCTGTGTTGATAAATCAAAAGAACAAATAAGTATGATGTGTTTGAATGAACCTTGTGTTACGGACTTGGCTATGGAGACTGCCATGACGATGTGATGGTTCTATCCCTGAACATCTGAGTTTAAGATGAGCCCTGGTGGTCCAGAGGTTAAGACTCTGAACTTTGGGGCTTCCCTGGTTAAGCATCCACCTTGCAGTGTAAGGGACACCAGTTCGATCCTCGGTCTGGGAAGATCCTACATGCCGAAGAGCAACTAAGCCTGTGTGGTACAACTGCTGAGCCTGTGCTCCAGAGCCCACGAGCTGAAACTAGTGAGCCCACATGCTGCGACTACTGAAGCCGGCACACCTAGAGCCTGCGCTCTGCAGGAAGAGTAGCCACTGCAATGAGAAGCCCACACACTGCAACGACGAGCAGCCCCCACTTGCCACAACTAGGGAAAGCCCACATGCAGCAACAGAGACCCACCACAGTCAAAAAAAAAAAAAAAGCAAAGACTCTGCACTTCCACTGCAGGGGACACTGGTTCGATCCCTGGTCAGGGAACTGAGGTCCTGCATGTCATACAGCCAAAAAATAAGTAAAGTAAATTTAAGTAAACATCTCTAGGGAAAAAAACAAGATTTAACTCTTTGTGATGTGCTGTGAGGTGAGGCCAAGAGCCCTTCCTCTTCTTCCTGGGAGTCTGGGTGATGGAGAGCAAGAAGGGGTGAGATTAAGATTTTCCCGGGCTCCAAGTTCTCAGAGGAGCATGGTGCTTTCCCACGACCCTCAAACCTTGGGACCCACGGCTCACACGTGCCAGAACCTCAGATAGCTTCCCTCTGAATTCTCTAACTGGCTTCCCTGGTGGCTCAGTGGTAAGCAATCCACCTGCCAAATGCAGGAGGTGCGGGTTCGACTCCTGAGTTGGGAAGATCCCCTGGAGAAGGGACTGTCTACCCACTCCAGTGAAATTCCATGGACAGAGGAGCCTGGTGGGTTACAGCCCATGGGGTCACAAAAGAGTCAGACATGATTTAGTGACTAAACAACACAGTACATTCTCTAACCAGAGATCAGAAACTGAAGGTGACTCGTCTGCCTCTTGGTGTGGGGGGAGTTGGGGTGGCAGGGCAGCCGTCACCACTGTCACCACTGCGGAAGCCAAGCCCACACACCCCTCCCGGTCCCCATGAGCAGTAGCCAGGGAGCCAAGGAAGGGCTGGAGGCGGGAGGAAAGGAGCAGTGAGCCTTTTTATTGTGGATTAATACACTCGGTAGTAACAATTCCACACGATATTAAAACACTGCAGGAAAGTGGGTGTGGCACACCTGGAATTTTCCTTTTTTTTAAAAATCAGAAATAAAAACCACTGGACATCCACGTACAGATGGGGTAGAACCCGCTAGAACCACAGATTGCTTCTGAGAACCTGGTGACCAGTCTTTACAACATTTGGGGACGGGGACGGGGACGGGGGCAGGTGGGGGGGAAGTGGGTAGGGTATCGATGTATGGCTTCTTTTCAGGGGACCCAGCCGCAGGCTCTTGAAGGACAGGTGACCTGTGGTGGCCTCCCCATGGCCCCGAAACTGCCCCTGATCACTTAGGCTCGGGGCAGAGGTCTAGTGACTGTTTCCTGCCTGTCTGGAGGCTGGAGCTGCATGAGCTGCCTGGAGGCCCAGTGAGTACCAGACAGGGCGGCCAGGACATCAGAGGAAGAAAAAGCACCTTCTGCATTCCCATGGGGTGGAGGTCACAACTGAGTCACTTCGTTCTGGGCCTGGGGGACGCCTCTGGGGAGGAAGGAGCAGGGGCACGGAATGGGGGCTGGGCCAGGCCCAGGGAAGCACTGCAGGCTGCAGAGGGGAGACTCAGCCATTGCCCAGCACTGCCTTTTGTGGGTGCGTGTGTCCCTAATTCCCTCGGGATGTGGCTGAGAGGCACTGGCCTTGTGGGGCGCTCACAGTCTCCAAGACACCCTGAAAACTGTGTTTTCCTGCCGACGGGCATGCCAGAAATGCACAAGCAGAGCAGTGTCCTGTGTGCCCAGATGCTCCAGGCCTACCCTAGGGACTGTGATGTTGAAGAGGAAAAATAAAAAAGGAAAAAAGCATTTTTTCCTCTGCTGAAAGGAAGCCCACAGCAGGGTTCCTACTGCCTGCCACCTCCCTAGGCTCTGAGGCTGTGGGTGGGTACCTGGTAGGCAGCTGGGCGGGTGTGGCCATGGGGCGGGGGCACAGTGGTCCCCATGCTCTCTGGGTCTCAGTTTACCCAGACCACTGAATCCCAGGGGTCTCAACGAGGGGGCAGGGTGGGAGCTCTAGCCCAGATCTGATTTTGCTTCAGGGTTTGAGGGGATGGGTGGCCATCAGCTGGCTGAGCCTGGAGCCAGCGATGGGGCTGCTGAACTCAGGTTCCCCCCACCCCCTCTGCCAGGGGTCCTGAGCTTTGCTTTCTGCTGGCTTCTCCAGGGTCACTTGGCAGGGACACATGGTGGTGCTGGGCTTGGCACAACTGGCAGGGCAGGGGCCGGAGAGAGGGGCAGGTCTGGGTCCTGCTGCTCCCAATGAGATCAGGACCACTTGTCCTCTTTGGGGCTCGGCGGTGGGAGCCTGGGTCAGTGGGGGCTCAGGAAGAAGGCTGGGCATGCGCAGACCGAGCTCTGGCTCAAGGGATTAAGGCTTCTGTCCCAGAGCAAAGGGTGATGGGTCAGCAGATGGCTCGTGGGCTGCCCTTGCTGCCCCTCTGCCCCTCAGGCTGAGCCCCACTGTGCCCTGGCTGCCCCCACCCCCACCCCTGGGGTGTGCCCAGGGTTTCTGGAATAGGCTTTGTTCCATCCTGCTGTTCTGCCAGGGGTGGGCAGGTGGGGCCTCCCCACCCGGGGCTGCAGTGTAGGGGTCAGGGGCTCAGGGGCTTTTCCCAGTCCAATTGCAGGTGAGGGGGAGCCAGGCTCCCTGAGGCCCCAGGTGCTCCCGGACCAGCCGGAGAGAGCTGGGTGCTGGGGGAGGGGATCGTGGCCCTGGGTCTGCACTCATGGGGTGTTGGGCATCCCACCAGCCTGTGCAGCCAGGCGAGGTCTGAGCCTAGGAGCACAATAGGAGCAGAGGCTCTGGGTCCTGCCAGCCCACGTGCCTTGGGCTGGCTGCCCAGGACCCTCGCGCTCAGCCTGGGAGCCTGACAACTCTGGCCGTAGAAGCAGGCAGCCTCTGGAGTTCAGGCTGTGGGGTCCTGGCGGCTGCAGGTGGCCCCGGCAGGTGAGGAGGGCAGGTGTGCATTCGGCCAGTCCTCCAGCCTCCTGCTCCTTGAACCGTCCGTATCACAGCATAGGAAACAACCATTGTAAAAAGCCCCCGCCCCGTCCATCACTGGCCACGCCAGGACACCTTACAAACACTCTGGGTGGTCGGGTGTGAGGGGGAGTGGAGCGCGGCGAGCGCCTCTCCATGTCTGGGCAGAGGCTCCCATCTCCGCGGCTTCTGCAGCGACTTCCAGACAATCCCACACCTTTTCAAACCCAGAAGTACCAGGCGCCCCGGGCAGGTCTCCCCAGGTGGCATTTCTGTTGGAAAAATGGCCATGGAGATGCAGAAAGCAGAACAAAACAAAACATGGAGAAGCTAAACAGGGCCATTGCCTCTTAGCTGCCCACGCCAAAGTCTCCTGCTTAAAACTAAAGAAAACACAGCTGGACGTCTCAGTGGCCCAGGCCACAAGCTGAAAGTCCCTTTCTGGGGTGGGTGGGAGCCGCAGCGTGGCTGGAGGGTGACGCTGGCCAGAGGAAAGCCACACAGCCGGGTGGCCCTGGGGGACAGTGTTTCATGGGCAGAGCTGCCCTCCGGGCCCCTACAATCCACGTGTGCACTGTTATACGACCCAGCTTCGCCTCAGATACAGCCGATGACGCCTGATCTTAGTGGTATGGAATTACAAGGTTTTAAATGAAAAGGAGAAAAATTTCCACTAAAGGGTGCATAATGTCCCTCCCCCCAACTCCCACCCAATGTTACTCCGCTAAACAGCCTCCCACCTCCCCAGAAAAACATCGCATCTCCACTTGGCAGAAGTCTTCCCAAATGGCCAAGGGTGTGAGACTTGCCACCTGCCTGGGCCACCCACACCAGCGGCGGATTCACCCACCTCCTTCCCTTCCCCTCTCCGGCCCAGTTCTGCCCCAACCACGATTCAAATGGCAGTTCAGTTTTCAGAAATTGTCACCACGTCGCTGGGACATGTCAGCTATTCCCCATCGGAAGTGGTGGTGAAGCCTGACCCCTGACGGGGCTGTGATACTGGGTCTGGTAATCCATTTGAACCCAGACGCTAAATTTTACTCCACCTGGGCAGTGGTTACTGTTTGCATTTCTTTCGGAATTAAGAGTTTTCCTTGATTTGACGCCCTGGCCGGGGGAAGGGGAGCGGGGTGGAGGAGTTGAGCGAGCGAGACAACCAAGCTATAGGATAATACAAGGCTTCTTGTCCTTAAAGGGGTTCTCGGAGGCGGGGACTCCCACCAGCAGGGGGTCGTTCCGGGCGTGCTGCTCACAGTAGCTCATGAGTTCGGAGGAGGCTTTGGAGACCTGGGTGTGGGCACAGGAGGAGAGAGGAAAGATGAGAAAGGGCCGAGGATCCATGTCCCCAGAAGCCAAAAGACAGAGACAACCCTAGTGCCTGTCACCTGAAGACACACACCGTGTCCCACCCACAGGCGAGCACCACTCAGCCACAGAAAGGAGAGAAGCCCCGACACTTGGTACCACGAGGACGGACCCTGAGGACACGATGCTCAGTGAGAGGAGCAGACACAGAGGGACACACACGGTGTGACTTCACTGATGGGAAACGTCCAGAACAGGCCGATCCACAGACACAGAGAGTGGGTTCCTGGTTGTCAGGGGCTGGGGTGCTAGACTGGACGGTGACTGTTAACAGAGAGGGGGGCTTCTTTTTGGGGGTGATGGAATGTTCTGGAATTAGGTGGTGGTGATGGTTACACAGCACTGTCAACACATAAAATATCATTAGTGGTCAATTTTATGTGTGTTCTACTGGAATTTTAAGATTAAAGAAGCAGCCGCAGGACTGAGCCCCCTCCAGCAGAGCTTGTGTGGAGTCTGAAGGGAAGGTCAGGGGAGGGTTGGGTCTAAGTCTCCATGTCCGTCCAAGAAAGGACCTGATGGGGGAGAGCCCAGCTGGCAGGTGGACCAGCATGGGGGACAGGCCCTTCAGTGGTTGATACCTGTGCTGTCTGACCAGTGGGGTTGCTGTGACCATGGTGAGGAAGCTGACACTTAGGACCCTCTGCATCAGGGTCCCCAGAAGAGGAGGGAGAAGAGGAAGGGACTGCCTAACCGGCGCTGGGGAAGCTGACCTGGGGAGAGCAGTGTCTGGTGTCAGGTGCAGGGAGGGCAGGGGTAGGGGCAGGCTGCATTGTCCGGGCTGCCCGCTCCAGCCCCGTTTTGAGTCTTGGGTGCAGCACATCTCTGCGGCTCCAGCCCTTGACTCTTTGGCAGTCCCCTCTCCACCCGGAGAAGTGGCGGGCAGGGGTTCTCTGGAAAGTCTGCAGAGGAGCCTCTGAGTGGGCCCCTGGCTCCGATTCTGTTGCTCCGCCTGGATCCCTGGAGACAGGATGCCATGTGCCCTCAGCCTCGGCTCCCTGCCTCTCCTTCGGGCTGGCCCTGCGGTCCCTGGTCGCCGTCTTGGGGCCACAAAACCTCAGGAGTGACTGGGAGGGAGATGGGTCATGCCCGACTCTGCTCCTCCCCATGTTCAAAGGCTGCCGGGGAGCCCTCCCAACATCAAACGGGTGGGTGAGTCAGCGATCTCTGCCAGGGCTGGGACTGGCGGAGGAAACCACTTCAACCGGGCTGCTCTGTCTTCAGCCTTGAGGAATGCTTTGAGTGCTCAGAGTCCTGGAACATTCAGACGCCTCGTGGGGGGCCCCCCAACCCCACCCGGGGGATGCAGCGACCTCCTTCCACCTGGCTGGGCTGGAGGTGCAAGGCTCTCAAAGATCCTCCCCCTCCCACCACAGGGCCACGGGGCAAGTGTTTGCACTGAGCAATGATGGTGCTGGGGGAGGCAAACCCTGAACAAACATGTGGGTTATGGCTGATTTTATGTGTTCACTTGGTGAGGCCATGGGTACCTGGATGTCTGGTCAAAGGCCAACCTAGATGTCTCTTATTGTTGTTGTTTGGTCACTCAGTCGTGTCCAACTCTTTGAGACCCCATGGACTGTAGCCCGCCAGGCTCCTCTGTCCATGGGATTTCCCAGGCAAGAATACTGGAGGGGCTGGGATGCCATTTCCTTCTCCAGGGGATCTTCCCAACCCAGGAATAGAACTAGGGTCTCCTGCATTGCAGGTGGATTCTTTACCAGCTGAGCTACCAGGGATGAGATTAACATTTAAATTTAGATGAGATTAACATTTAAATTGATGGACTTTGAATAAAGCAGATGACATGCCCTAATGTGGGTGGGCCGCATCTGATCAGTTGAAGACCTTCAGAAAAAAGACTGCTTGATGGCCTTGGGACTCAAGCTCTTGGGAAGAGCAGCAGCTCTTCCCTGGATCTCCAGCCCATCGTCCAGCCCTGCAGACTTCAGAACTGTCAGCTCCATGATTGTGTGATCCAGTGCTTTAAACTGCCTCTCATGCTCCCTCTCTCTCTGTAATATATCGTCGTATATTTCTGACTAATGCAGTGGGCAGTTGGAGCCTGGCTAATGAGGGAGCGTAAACCACCAGTGTCTTCCAGACAGAGACTCCCTGGCCCTCGCCCGGCCACCGGCAAGCTGGGGTCTGTGGCAGGAGTCAGCTGCTTGGAGGCGGCTCGGCATCCTTGGCAAAGTGGACACAGGTTTGGTGAGAAGATGATTTTGAAAAGTGGCACACACCTTTCTTGTGCAAGAGGCCATGATTGGCCCACTGGTCCTTAATCTTTGAAAGCCCTGGATGTCATCCTGATGTCCACTTGTGGACTTAAGATGCAGCTATATAAATACATGTGTCCCTCCACACATGGGAGCATCACTCAGCCATGAAAAGGAGAGAAGTCCTGACACTCACTACCACGTGGACAGACCCTGAGAACACAATGCTCAGTGAGAGAAGCAGACACAGAAGGACACACGGGGTGTGATTCCACTGATGGGAAACGTGCAGAGCAGGCAGATCCACGGACACAGAGAGTGGGTTCCTGGTTGTCAGCCTTGTCTGGGCTGGGGAGGGGATGGGGGTAACTGCTAATGGGGACAAGGTTTCTTTTGGGGGTGATGGAATGTTCTGCAATTAGTCATGATGGTTGCACAACATTTTCAGTTCACCAAATGCCACTGAATTGTGCACTTTAAAAATGGTTAACTTTATACAAATAATTAAAAAGAAAAAGCCTGCCAAGCTGACTGCCCAATTATGCAGTATCTTAGTTTGTTTTGCATGTTCCTGGTCCCTGATGGGTTAAGTATTTGTGAGGAGGAACTGCTTGTCCTTTTTCTTAGCATAAAAATTGAACATGCTTATTTCCAAAAATGCAGTCCATGCAGAAATGGCAAAAGTAAACATCAAAAGGCTCTGTGTCCACCCTTGCCCAGGGCCGGGTCTCTGACTTCTCTTTGCATCTATCACAAGGGAGTGGTACAGAGCTCTGAGAATGAGGGGCCAGAAGAGAAAGTGCCTGCCTCATGCTCACCCTCTTGGAGGGGCCCCATCCGGCCTTCTCTGGGGCCATCCAGGGATGGACCCCAAGGGCTTAAGTGGGCTCACAACAGACCTTGAGGCCTGCCTCTGGTCTTACCGTGTTTATGAAGCACATTGGCACATTTACCCTCACAACAACCCACAACCTAGCTTAATAGGAAGTGTGTCTTTCTGTTGAGACAATGGAGGCTCAGAGAGGCTAGGCGAGTGGCCCAAGGTCACACAGCAAGAGGCAGAGCCAAGTGCAAATCCCCTCTGTCCTGCTAGCCTCCGTGCCCACCGTTTGCTGTGGGTGTGTCCAGTGGCCCCTCCCCTACTCACCTTAATGCGCTCGATCCCAGCTTCGATGCGGAGCTGCTCCACCAGCTTCCGAGCCTGGGCTATGTTGTTAGTGGCTGACATTGTCTGCCATCAGCTCTGGGCCCCCGTCGTCCAGAGAGCTGGGTGGGGAACAGATGGACATGAGCTGACTCGTAAAGTTCTGGGACTGCAGGTAGGGGATGGTGAGGAGGGGTGCACCCCCATTCCCCAGGCTGGGCCCCAGGCTGGGGCTCCTAGTCTGGCCACCCTGCAGTCATGAAGACTCTGTCCCCTGGGTCATGGTGGGTGCGTGCATGTCCTTCAGCCATATCGTGTCCGACTCTTTGCAACCCCATAGGCTGTAGCCTGACAGGCTCCTCTGTCCCTGGGGATTCTCCAGGCAAGAATACTGGAGTGGGTTGCCATGCTCTCCTCCGGGTGACCTTCCCAACCCAGGGATTGAACCCAGCCCTGGTGAGAGGTTTGGCCAAGTGCACCTTTTCCCAGGCCCCTCCATGGTTGGTCGGGACTGAGTGCTCCCAGGATGTGACCACCCAAGGGCCCCAGGAGAGCTCACAGCCCCACTTCTGGCTGACTCAGAATGGGGGGGGCTTTCTCTGATTCCTGCACCTACTCCTCCCCCAACATGGCTGGCACTGAGGCCGGTCATTCTCTCTAGGGGACTGTCCTAGGCCTTGTTGGGTGTAGACCAGCCCTCTGGATGCCAAGAGTACCTCCAATGTGACAATCAGTAATGTCCCTAGACATGGCCCAAGGAGGCAGAGTTGCCCAGGGCTCGACCCCTGGCCCTGGATGCAGGCAGATTATGTGAGCAGCCTATACCCATGGGTCCTGGGTACCCTACTCTTCCTCTGGAGGGCCTGGGCCAGTTTCCTGCCTTCTTTGGTCATTTGTCCAGTGAATTGAAATATAATTAAATATAAAATGTCTTGGGACTTCCCTGGTGGTCCAGTGGTTAGGACTCCTAGCTCCCAATGCAGGGGGCCTGGGTTAGGTCCCTGGTCAGGGAACTAGATCCCACATGCCACAACTGAGAGTCCTCATGCTGCAACTAAATAAAAAAGATCCTGCATGCCACAGCAAGATCGAAGATCCCCTGTGCCGCAGCTAAAACCTGGAGTAGCCAAATAAACAAATATTTTTCAAAAAACCCATTTTCACCTGACTGACATCCATGTTCCATTAGTTATGAGAGTGCTCTTTAGACGGGACCATATGGTATGGAGGGCTTTCCTGGTGGCTCAGACGGTAAAGAATCCACCAGCAATGTGGGAGCCTGGGCTCGATCCTTGGGTTGGGAAGATCCCCTGGAGGAGGGCACAGCAACCCACTCCAGTATTCTTGCCTGGAGAATCCCCATGGACAGAGGAGCCTGCCGAGCTACAGCCTATGGGGTTGCAAAGAGTCAGACATGACTGAGCAACTAAGCAAACACATATAGTCATGCAAAGTTTTTTTCTTTTCCTTAAGGTGGTTAAAAATCCTACCTATTTCATCCAATCCACGTTTAGTGAGCCCTAGGATAGAGGTTCTCAATTGAGATCATCCTGCCCCCTGGGGATACTGGGTGATGTCTGGAGACATCTGTGGTCGTCAGAACCTGGGATGTTGCTCAGCCCTGACAGTGCCCAGGGTGGCCCCCCACAGTGGATGACCCAGCCCCAAATGTTGACAGCTCCAAGGCTGTGAAATGGAATCTGATCCCAACTCACACTAGACAGTAGGATAAACCCTCGATGGTCAGATGGTGTGAACCAGGGTGACTCCAGCGTCTGTGAGTCACCTCCCCTCTCTCCCACTCAGACATGTATTTATTTATTTATTTGGCTCCTCTGTACCCTCACAGGATATTAGTTCCTGGGCCATGGCTTGAATCTGGGCCCATGGCAGTGAAAGTGTGAAGTCCTAGCCACTGGACTCTGCCTGGGAATCCCAGAGGTGTGTATTTAGGTGTGAGCAGCATCTGAGGACCTCAGGGGTCACATGGTCAAGGAACCCAGTGTCCTGTGGGGTCCACTGGATCCCTAACCTGGGGCTCTCACCAAGGGAGATCCTGTCCCCAGGAACACTGGGCAATGTCTGAGGACGTCTGTGGTTGTCATTGACAGGGGGAGGGGCTTCTGGCATTGAGATCATAGCAGAGAATGACCTAACCCCAGTGAGCGCATTGTCTGGGTTGTGGAAGCTCCCAGTGGGTCTGCATGGTATTAGTTCAATACGGAGTATGCAAAGCCCAGGTTCAGAAGCCCAAATTCATGGGTCCCAGGGAGCCGCCTGGCCAGGCTGGCATTGAGCCAGGTCATTCAGCGGCAGTACGTGCTTCTGCCATGATACACTGCGCCTCTGTCTGTTTTCCAGTCAGTAGACGGGGCAGTTACCGAAAAGGAAAGGCAGATTCCAGGTTTTCAAAAAATTTCCCGCTGGGCAATAAAAAGGAATAGACTGGGGACTTCCCTGGTGGGCCAGGGGCTAAGACTGTACTCCCAATGCAGGGGGCCTGGGTTCGATCCCTGGTCGGGGAACTAGAGCCCACATGCCTCAACTAAAGATCCCCTGTGCTGCAGTGAAGACTGAAGACTCAGCCTGTCACAACTAAGACCTGGCACAGCCAAATAAATGTTGAAAACAACAACAAAAAAAGGAATGCACTGTGGAAGTGTACGTCCTGGATGGCCCTCCAATAAATCGCTCAAAGTGAAAAGGGCAGTCCCCAGAATCACATGCTGTGTGTTTCTGCATACAGAACATCTCTGAGATGTCAAGGCAGTAGAGATAAGGAGGGATTCCTGGTTTCCGGGGGGCGGCGGCCTGGGGAGGGGTCTGGGTAGACAGGTGCACACCAGGGGTCCTCACTCAAGAGCCAAGTATCCTGACTGTGTGTGTGTGTGGGGGTCATGGGTCTGCAAGGGTGGGGGCATGAACTGGCAAAGATCTTAGTACATGCATACAAGTCAAACCGTAGGAATCTGTGTCAACAGGTGATACAGGGCCTTTCTGTCAGTGATCTGATATAACTGTGTGTGAATCTACAGTTATCTCAATCCAAGTTTCCATTAAAAAAAAAAAAATCCCTTCTGTGCTGCTGCCTGCCTGCCTGCCTCTCTGCCAGACATCCCGGCCCCTCTCTGGGCCAGAAAAGGCCTGAATGTGTCTGCTCCAGGCGCGCAGGGCCCACGTGTGGGCTCCCGGAGTGCTCTGATTCAGCACAGTGCTTCAAAGCGGCCACAAAACATCCAGCTCAGGGAAAACCACCCTTGGTTCAACTTAAAAATACCGAAATTACTCAGTGCTAAATATAGACGCTGACAGAGAACAAACGGGGTGGCCCCATGGCGTGTTTTCCTTGGAAGGCTGGGGAGTCCTGCTCAGCACCCACACTTGGAATGTCCACCAGGACCCTGGGAGCCCCGAACACCCTGTGGGGCCACCCCAACCATGGCCTCCCTCGTGGGCACTAAGCCCCTCAGCACTGCTGGCTTCCTCTCCTGGGCATGACACCCTTGAGATGCCCTCCGGGCTAGGATATAACCCCGGACACCTGGGGATGGCCCCAAGGGGCTTCCTTGGGTTTTGTGTGCTGTGTGCAGGTATGTGTGCACACATGTGTGCATGAGCGTGTCTGTGTCTGTGCATGCATGCCTATGTGTCTATGAGTTTGTGTGTGCATGCATGTGCGTCAGCGTGTATCCACGTGTGGCCATGAGTGGCTGAGACCAGATGCGGCCATGGCACTGCTACATAGACAGCAGACTGAAGCCTGGTCCTGGCAGAGGCAGGCCCAGCCCAGCCTTACCGCGTGTCCCTGGGGTTAGGTCAACTCCCTCAGGCAGGCACAGGCGCTGAGTCAGCCCAGGAACATTCCTCACCACACGTGACGCCCCAGGCACCTGACCTGGCCAGGCCTGCCTGGGCCCAGCGGAGTCTTGGAAGTCCCTTGACGCCAGGCAGGGCCTCAGGAAGCTGCGGGGGGAGAAGGTGGGAGCGGGCCCTCCAGGAGGGAGTGAGGAGGCGGTTGGAGCTGCAAGCCGTGGTCAGGTTCCCGCCTGGGGAGAGGCCAGTTCAGGCCTGGCGAGGCCAGGGGCATGACTTGGGGGTGAGGTTTGCCTAAAAATAGAAGCTTAACAGACGCCACTGGGCCCTGGCTGGCCTCCCAGTAAAGGGCCGGGAAGTCACTGGGGTCAGGCGGGCTCCCACAGAAGCGTTGAGGGCGTGTGGCGGAGAGGCAAAGGCTGTGCGGGCCGGACTGCCCAGGATACTTTGCTTTGTGAGCTGGGCTAATGACAGACAGAGGGTCAACCCTGAGCACTACAGACCCCAACCTGGGTGCCAGGCCCCAATGCACATGAGGATCAGCCATAACCGGGGGAGGACAATGATTCTCCACAGTGGGCTGCAGGGTGGCTGGATGGGGGGACACCTAGTTTGAACAGGGTCACCTCAGGCCCTGCTCACACTAAGGCCGGATCACTCTCTATGGGGATCTGTCCTGGGAGCTGTGGGGTGTAGAGCAGCCTCCCTGGCCCCTACACCCTTGATGCCAGGAGCCCCCCATCCTTCTGAGTTGTGATGAACCACAGATGTCCCCAGATACCACCCAATGTCCCCTGGGAGCAGGATTTAAAGCTTTAGTGGAACTCTCTTATCAGAAGACTCTCTGCAGCTAAAAGATTCTTTCAGGAATATACAAACAGTTTTTTGGGAACTGAGATGGTTCAGCTTGAAGTGAAGTGGTACTGAGCAGAAGAGAAGTTTGTTTCCAAACAGGTTTTAAATTTCTTAGCATCTGGGAATTCCCTGGCATTCTAGTACTTGGGACTCCACACTTTCACTGTGGAGTGGGTGGGTTCAATCCTTGGTCAGGGAACTAAGATCCCACAAGTGGTTTGGCCTGGCAACAACAGCAAAATATGAAACAAAATTTCTTAGTATCCAACAACCTGGCTGGGAGAAATCACACAGGGTCAGAGGCTCCCTTGAACTCAACCAACAACACATCTGAAGCGGGAGCGAGTGCAGCCTTCCCGGTGCGGTGGGGGCAGGGTGGGAGGCAGAGGTCTTACAGAAAGAGCAGACCTGAATTC